ATACGAGCAAAAACTTCTTTACATAGCCATGTGTATTCTTTTGAGGAATGTGCTTGAATGGACTTGGTATCCATCATGTACTTAGGCTGGACTTATAAGCTTTTGCTGCAATTTTCCTATAAAACTAATACACATCATATTATCCTTAATCGGATTAATAAGGCACATAATGTATTAATAAGTTTAATATAAAAGGAAATGAAAATTATATAAATTATACATGGATCAAAGAGTTAATAAGAAGATCCAAAAGATACTTCATAATGTTCAAGTAATGGTCGAGGGAGAGAAAATAATGACTTTTTGGGAGACTCTCCCTTCAAGTCTTAAGATTTAGTTTGGCGACCTATGGCAAGCAAATGTAGTTGCGGATAAATTTTATTTTGGTATTTTATTTTGTTCAAGAATTCACTAATCATTTATTTATTTATTTATTATGTTCAACGAGTTTAAATCTATCTTGTAAATTCTCTTAGCATATCATCGTTATTTTCAAGAAGTGATCGAACCCCTTCGGCTCTATATAAAAGTCAATTTCCCAAAAGACCAAAAACTTATACTTGGAATGAATGTAAGGTAACATATTAAGTTTTTATTTATATTACCTTTAAATTAACTCGGTAAATCCAACATGACATACATTTCTATTTATTTTTTCTTTCTTACATAAGTACTTTCTATAGGAAGAAAGCATCGGTAGGATGGTTAAGATAACATCGAAGCGTCAAGCATGCAAATGGTATACCGACATACCGACCACTTAGAAAAGGAATGCAAACAAACCCTCGTCCGTCCCGGAGTAGGTATGGGATGGATGGTAGTGACAATGAGCCATACTTGAGTTTAAAACTTGTTCTAAGTAGGTGGTTACGAATCGTATGAGTAGGATGGTTGGTATTGGTGTTAGCCCATCTAGACATATTAAGGGTTAAATCTCATTGATTGAACATGCTTGTATGGATGGTAAACCATATTATCCATTATCTTATAAATTATTATTTGCACTTATTGTATTTTTTTATTATTTATGTCAATTTTTTTCAATATAAGGAGTTGGGTTATGACCTAAATCCTTTCTAGTAAGCCAAATGTTTTATTTTTTTAGTTAAACATATGCTAATTTAATCTAAAAATTAAATTTATAATTTTTGCAATTACGTAGGAGCACGTGGAGTCATTGCATGAGGTAACTACTACTCAAGCATTAGAGGGTTCTTCATCGACATCAAACGTTAACATAGCTCACATATACTCAAGGTTGTAATAGGAGAGAAGAAGCATATAGTGTATGATCTCATATCATTAGCGTTCTAGTATTACTTCTATTCGATGCCGACTTATCATTTACCACATTGTAATTCCTTGATTGTATTTAGTAGAATAATGAGCGATACTAGTCGCTCCGAGTAGACATAGAGCCCGACTAGGCTTAGTAGATGTAAAAGATGGATAAGAAGTTGTAGGAGCATTAAGAGTTGGTGCAACACCATAAGCGAGTAGATGCAAATGATGTAGCAGATGTAAAAGATAGATAAAAAGTTACGAAGCATCAAAAGTTCATATAACGCTATGAGCAACATATGTAAATGATGTTGCAGGTTGTTATACGGGAGAAGTAAACTCACATTGACCTACCTTTCCCTCTTCCTAACCCTTCATCTACCCAGACAACAACTCAATGATAATAAGGACCACCATTGATTAGAGTAGTAATAATTTTACATATTTCATTTGATTATTTTCATACACTAGAACGTATTTGTATACATATTTTATTTCATTTTATATTATTTTTATTTTACATAATAATATTGAGTGTTATAATTTCATTTTTAATGATTTATTACTATACTTAAATATAAAACCACTAATAATGAATTAAAAAATATATACACATTTTCTATATTAGCGATGGAACAACGACTAACTAATGATGAAAAAAATATTACATTACATCAACTATCGACACATAACTACACAAATCGTCGGTATATTACCGATCAAACATAGACGGATTAATGATAGAGATTTTTACAACAAAATATTGTTGTCGGTGATTTAAAATCACATTGATGACGTATATGAGTCCTTTTAATGACAACATGTCACGTTGCTAATTTCATCACATTAGCAATGAGAAACTACATTAATGTGACATCTTTTTCATCACTAAATTAGAAACGAAGTTATAATTCATTATTAAACTTATTAGTGATAAGGAATTTTTTGACGGATTTGTTTCCTTGTCATTCCGTCGCTAAAGTACAATAGCGATAAAATAAATGGATCTAACGATGAAAAAATCTATTACTATTGTGTTATTCTTTTATAATGATAAATCCCCTTATTTTTTGGATAAAATTATTATTAGTATCTCATACGATAAGAATAACACCCAAGAGAGGAGGATTTGGAATGTTGTATGTGGTGAGGTCAAACACCTCAATGACCCTCATGACTCATCATTTCTTTTGAATACAAGAATGGCCCTTCAAACTATAATATAGGGCTTGAATTTCAAGTTGAGCAATAAACCACATCCCGGTTGGCCATTTGGAATAACTAGAAAAATGGTATCATGTCACCTCTCGAGCAACTTCCAATTAATAAAGAATCAAGACCTTCTCATCGGGAACCAAACACCCTAAAAGTTTCTATGCCTTATAAACAACATGTTTAAACCTATGGCACTAAAAAAAAAGGCTTAAAAAAAAATTCGAGCATTGGAATTAAAAAGATTAAGTATGAAGGCATCGAAAACCTCATTGTAAGGAGATAACAAGGCATTTATATTGGACCAATGAGGGGTGATGAGAAAGGTTAGACCTAAAGTGAGGGTCCGATGATGAAGCAATGTCGGGTATGGATTAAAGAGCGAGAAGAAGACATTTGAGCCCTAGATTTGGAAGCGAGACTTGTTGAAAGCCATGGAAGTAAAATGCAAACGAGAGTTTGAAAAGAAAGAATCAAAACCCCTAAAAATAAGAAAAGAGGGAAATTAAAAAAAAAACATGCTTATAAATAACGATAGACTCAATAATGAAACAATAATTGAAACTCCTCTTGTATTAATATGACAAAATCAAAGAGTTGTATGGTTCTAAGTATCCGTTGCTTGAGATCAAAGGGTTATGGTTCTAAGTATCTATTGTAACTTTGGGAACTAAGGGAAGTCGAGCAAAAGGGCACTAAAGAAATCATTTCTTTTCATTGTGGGAAGAAATTACACACATGAAAAGAAAAATGAGTAGATGGTACACGTAAATTTAATTATATTTTGGCGAGTCCAACAAATTAAAGAAAAGCCGGTAAGGGTTTGATCATAAGGCCTATTCTATAGGCTATTAAAGTTGGCTAATAGGTTTAATATCATTAAATCTATAAAGAAAGACTTTTGATCCACCTACGAAAGAAGCCTAAATTAAATAAAGAGATGTATTATATCGGAAAATAATAAGACGCATGCATAATAGACTCCAAATAGAATTGCATCATGAATAAAAGATGTGAAAAATCAAGTCCTATTTAAAAGGAAAAACTAATAAGAATGGAAGCATATGAGCGAGTTGACTCAAACAATTGGGAGCATAATTCAAAAATATGCAAGGAACGTAGGAATGTTGCAAAAAGTGAATAAAAATACCAAAATACATATAGCATTGCAATTCAAGAAAAACATAGAGCATTATAGCTCAAGGCGAAAAGGTATGAGATTTTGCAGCTTAAGAATATGGCTTGGTATAAAAAAATGTAGAAGGGAGCAAAGGCTATAAATACCAGCTACAACGGGACACACATATACAACAAGTACATACAACAACACTCTTACAAATTATTAGTTCATAGAGCATCATCTTTCAAATTGTTTCAACACTTGAAATATAGTAGGTTATAGTTTGTAGGCGGTAATAGTAAGAAGTAGCGGTAGGTTTATAGTTCGTCCTTGGTTCAATTTTTACACTCGTTGTAACACATACAAATCTTGTCTCTCAATGTTTGAAATTCCAATTAGTGTTTGCTCATCATTCTCTATGTCTACAAGTTAGTATGTTTGTGAAGTCATTGTTGTTTTTAAAGAACTTTCAATTTAATACATATGAATTTTAGTTTCGTTTAACGTTGCGAGTCTTTAATTCACATATTTGTTATTAGTTTATTTGCTTATTTTCAATTCAGTTTAGTTATTTTGATTGCATACTACTATAAATGCTCAAGGTATAAATTTCTAGTTATTCTATTTACGGCATATTAGCCTTCTAACCTTGCAACCCAAACATCATAGGCTTTCTAGAAACCCTTTGGAAGGATTTTTTAGGCCATTTCATTCTAGTACAGGTAGTAATCACTTATTATTTTAAAAACTCAAATGTCTCTATCATTAAAAGTAAGACAAGCTCGCTTAATAATTTTAACCGTCTAATTAGAAATTATAAAAATAGATTGCCTTACAAATTGTTTTTCAATCATCTTTTAACATTTTGTTTCAAAATTCTCTTAATTGAGATTGGCATAGAAGAATCCACAACAGACTTCCATTCACCAGTGTAACTGTTCATACTATGTGCCAAGTAGCCTATCTACTCGTTCCTTCCCCGTGACTGCAAAAGAGACTCTCCACATGCTGACCTTTAAGTAACTGGTTTGTTTGGTTCAAGGTTAAATGGTCGGCAAGCCCTCAAACTGATCATTTGGTTATGAACCAGTATCCGCTGGCCAGTCAAGTCTTTGGACTTTTCCTGAATTTTGGGTATAACAGTAGGTAGAGAATCTAATTGAATAAATACTTTGTTTGGGAACTAGATTTAAAATAATTAATAGATACTAATTTGTAATTTTTGCAGAAAAATAGAAATGATAAAACAAAGAAAAGAAAGCCATTTGCAGATTGAATTCACACATACATTAATTTTGTAAGCTACTGAAGAAATATTGTCCAGATTCAATTCTGACTTTATTACGTTAGTACAGCCCAAATTTGTTCTTGATTATTCTTGCATGCATCATTCAATACGTTTCATGGAGATATATATGGCATGCATCATAAAGGGCACGTAAATGCTTAAAGCCAGAAGAACTATAGCAATCAGCAATCCTGCAGCACGAAAAGCATAAACACTCCCACCGGACAGCTTCCCTACCTTTACTTGTATCACATCTACCATTGATATCGTCAAGAACATACACCCAAGAATCCACCCCCATGCCGATAGCAACAACATGCCTCCTCTGATAATCTTGAACTTAATTTTCTTCAAACCCCTTAGGCGGTATACGTTGAGATGGATCTTTAGGGTCTTGGCTACGAGGCTGGACAGTAGGAAGAAAGCAAATGCTATGACTTCGGACACGATAAGCCGCTTGGCTACGTCTGGGTCTGCGTCACAATCCGTTAGGTTTTCGAGGCTTTTCTCGCCGGGATGAGCTAGGGATAGGCCCACAAACACAGCTATTGTGAAGAGAGAATTCACATTGACAAGGTCGTCCAATGCTTTTTGGTGGATTTCTATAGCGTCAAGCACTTTCGTTGGTGTTTCTCCTTTTTCTTCAAGCCTGATCAAATTAACAAGCAAAAGGAATTATCATATATATATACAGAAAATATTGCAAGTTAATTTATCATAAAACAAAGTGGAAATTAAAGAGATCAGAGATCACAGACTCATTCATGATTGACATAGATTTTGGTGCTGCTCTTCTGATTCCAAATTAATTTATTGCTAGGTAAAAATAGCGGGCCTTGTCTTTAAAGCATAAGAAAAGGAAAAGGCCGGCCAAAGAGAAGTTGGATGCTTATTAGCCTATAATGAACGCCTTAGAAAATTATGGAATTTATTCTGGGCCTCACTCACGCCTATTGTGCTTTCATGCAATTGACCTTTCATAAGATTCATCATCGCATGCTTAAATATCAATTAACGTAGCTCCTTTGATCTTGTTTTCATTATTATCATGGTCGGAAGTATTCAAACAGTAAAGTATAAATTAGTCCCTCTAGTTTTAAAAAAGAATTAATTAGTCTTTTTTAAAAAATAATTGTTACTTCTTTCGTCCATTTTATATATTTTTTCTAATTTGTTTTTAAAAATTATAAAAAATAAATAGATTTTTTTGAAAGACTGATGAAAAAAGAAAAAAAATTAAAATAAAATAATATTAAATTAAGTATAATTAAAACTGATCAAGAGACAAAATAATTAATTTTTTAAAGAAAAAAAAACTAGTTAATTTGTTTTTTGAAACTAATGGACTAATGTATAATTTACTCCTAAAGTTTTCATGGGATAGCTTGATACGTAACTTCCCATTTGCGATCCACCATAAAAACACGTTACATATGACATGTACGGTTGACGCTACAATTGCACCCCGAGCTTTAAAAAATTGTACATTTAAGTCTACAATTTTCAAAATCTTTTAATTTTACCCTTCAAGCTAAAGACACTTATTTCATATAAAATACACATTTTGCTCCTCGTTAATTAAATATTATCTCTATGTCTTTCGTTTACATTTACAAGTTTACCTTAATTTTGTTTTTCTAAATTAACACCCTTACTTCTCTAAATTTCTAATTCCACCCATGCAAGCCATGCATGATATTACTCATAAACTAAAAAGGCATGAGTTTTTTTAACACAAATTACTATTGTTAGACTATTCACATCTTCCTCCCCCCCCCCTCCCTTTTTTTTTTTTTTTTTTTTGAGTACTATTTACTTTTGTTTCTTCGCTCTTTTGTTTCAAGTTATTGTGAATACTTGTATTTTTTTTTTTACTATCAATTTTTTATTTTTTTTATTATTATTTTTTTTTTTTACTATCAAGTTAGGTTCCTTTTTATTTTTATTTTTTAATTTTCAGGTTGTTTCATTTTGATCTCTTTGGTTATTTTTTTATTTAATTTTTTTAAAAAAATTCTAGGTTATTTATTTTGATCTCTTAGGTTCTTTTTTTAATTTAATTTTTTTAAAATTTTTTTATGTTATTTCATTTTTGTTTCTAAAATTTTAATCCTCTATCCGATGCACTACTCATGCCTTTTCTTTTCTTTTCTTTTCCTTTTTTTTTTCAATAATTTATGTTCTTTTTTTATTTAATTAGGTGTTAAAATTTTAAAAAATCAATCATTACTTTTTTTTCACACAATCTAACAATTATATAACACTAATCATGCCTTTTTTCCTTTGCTTTTTTTTTTCTATCAATTTATGTTTTTTATTTATTTAATTAGGTGTAAAAATTTTAAAAAAGAAATTGTTACTTTTTTATACAAGCTGAGGATTATATGATATATAGGATATTTTTTATGTATCTACGATATGTTTTTAGATTTTAGAATAAATATAAACTACTCTCATTGTATAAAATTGATTTTTTCGATAAAAATTCTCATCAAGTTAATTTTTATTCTTATTTTTTATAATTTTATTTATTAATAAATATGACTTATTTTTTCTATGTATGGATTTGAATAATTTTTTTTAATACCTTTTTTTATTTACTTGATTCTTATATAATCAAAATTTAAAAATTGAATATATGTATTTTATTTTCTTATTTTTTACATAATCAAATTTTATCAAAATCAATTTTATAGTTTTTACTACACTCCATTAACATCAATATATATTTTACCATTTAATTTTTTAAAATATTTTTTAATTTATTTTATATTTTCACCTTTAAGTACGGTCATGATGTATAAAAAATAATAGCATTAGAGCCATTGCTTTTATTATAAATTAACTATGTATCTACTCACACAATACCAACTATTTGCTATTTTTTTTTAACATTTAAAATGATTTTTCCAAACAAAATAATTGAAATAATATTCTAGAATAACTGCTTAATAATTCAAATGCAATTTTGTATGCCAATATTATTCAATATTTTGTGAATAAATATATATAAATCAAATGTATATATTTTAAAAAATAATCTTCTCACCAGTCAAAAAGTTCATTTGTTAATTTTCATATAATTTTTTATATTAATTGTTGCTTTATTTGTTCGATGCAATATAATGAAAAAAATATCAAAATGTTTTTTTTTAATTTTCTATTAAAATTTTTTTATTATGGGTTTTATTTAAGAATAAATACATAATAAAGAACAAATCATATTTTTTACTTCAATATATATATATATATATATATATATATATATATATATATATATATATATATATATATATATATATATATATATATATATGAAATTTTATATTTTATATTTAATTTAATACATTTTAATTAACCGATAACATAGTATATGTTATCAAACCGAGATGAATTGTTTAGTTTGGTCGCAGGTATAGTGCGAGAATCCGAACTATTCATATGTTTAAAATTCTTATTCACTCACTCGTTCAATTACACAAAATTACTATTCAGTTTATAGCAATTTAAGTAATTTTTGTGTGTTTTTGGACACTAATATTCAAATTTAACACTTTTTTGTATTTTTGATCGCCCATGTTGTAACATTTTTTTCAATCCTTACTTTTCATTTTCTTTCATTTTCATGCAAGCACACACACACACACACACTACTTTTTAATATTTTAAAATTAGCATATACATCAGCTTATATTACTTTTATCATTTAAATTTTATTATTTGAATTTATCATTTTTTATAAAAATTCTCATCCAATTAATATTTTTTTATAGAAGATTTTATTTACTGATAAATATAATTTATTTTTCTCTATGTTTGAATTTTAGAATCAAAATTTAAAAGATTATTTTTTTCTTTTAAAAAAATAAATTAGCATAATATATATAATGAATTCTTAGAATTTTTAAATGATAATTGCGCATAGATAAATATATAATTATTTTATTCTAAAAGGTTAAAAATGTATTTTAAATAATTTACCTCAGCTCACTAGGTATGATCATGACATATAAAAAAACTATTGAATCATTGATTTTATTAAAAATTAACTACACATCTTCCAACATAATATAAATTATTTTCTATGAATATTTTTTTAACATTATATAACAAATTTATTTGTAATAAAATAATTAAAATAAATTTTTTAAGGAACCAATCAATTATTCACATATAGTTTTTTTATGCAAATTTTGTTGCTTATTTTGTAAATAAACATATATAGATCTAATGTACATATTTTAAAAAATAATCTTATCGCCAATATTAAATAAGAATAAATTTTTATTTCTTCATTGGTTAATTTTTAAGCAAGTCTATACATTAATTGTGACATTATTTTTTGGATGCATTCTTATAAAAAAAAATTAATTTTAAACTATTTGCTTTTGATTTCTTAATTAATATATCGAGTTTAAATTATTACAAGTTTTTATTTAAAAATCCTTAAATAAAGAAGAATAAATCCTTTGTCTTTAAGAAAAATTTTTATGAAAAACACAAAAAAAAATAATAATAATAATAAATAAATAAAAAATAATGACAAAATTTAAAATAATTTAAATAATTTTGTTCTATCTACCCATAGCACTACACGGATAATTTCAAAAATTAATCTTCTCGTTAGCATTAAATAAGATTTTTTTTTCATTTTTTAATTTTTTTATAACTTTATATTTTGGAATAAAATATTATGAAAATTATATTTTTAAAGCTTTTTAAATTCTTGATTAATATTTTAGTTAAAATTATTATATTTTTTATTTTAAAATAAATCCATGAAGAAGAATGATTTATATTTTTCTTTCAGCAAAAAATTTATAAAAAAAAATTACAAATTTAATTAAATAAAGAATTATAACAAAAAACTTTAAAATTTTAAAATGATTTCTTTCTATTGGACTTGCAGGCGTAGTGCGGGCAAGCAACTAGCTACAAACCTAAAAAAGATGGGATTTTTATTATTCTTAAACTATTCACACCCTCACAAAATACTGTTCATGCACTACCGGATAAATGGGATTTAGCGACGGGCAAAACCGTCGCTAAATAAAAAAACCGTTGCTAAAACGTTTTAGCGACGAGTTTTGCGACGGTCAAGTAACCGTCGCTAAAAACCTCATCGGTATTTTTTAGTGACGGTTTAGACCATTGCAAAATTAGCGACGGTCTAAAACGTTGCTATTCCGTCGCTAAATGTCGATGTAAACGAGTTAGGACATTAGCGACGGTTCCGTAAACCCTTGGTATGACCGTTGCTAAATACGACTGACGTGATTAGCAAATCGGATTAGCACTGGACCGTTTCTAAGACCGTTGCTAATTAAAAAATAAATTTATTTAAAACAATAATAAAATGAGGTCAAAGTAACAATTTTAAGGTAGAAAAAATCTCGTAAAATATTGTAAACGTAAATTTTTATTATTCAAAATGTATTAAAACGTCGCTAAACAATTACATTATTGTTAAATAAAAAAAACAAGTACATCGATTGCGGTTAATACAAGAAAACATAAAATCTAAAATAAGTTAATGTCTAGGATCGATCGGAGGTCAGGTGGAGTCGTCTCGGAGGCTAGGTCGAGTCGTTGTCGGTCTCGGGAATGACGGATGAACTACCACCACGCTCAAAATGCCGCATGAACATCTGCCGCATCCGTGACATCATTGTAAACTACTCTCGACTATTGTTTCTCAACTCAATCGTGGTTTCTAACAACGATGCCACTTGGCCCCGTAGGCCGCTCACGGTACCCTCTAAGTTGTGGATGTGC